ACAAGAGAGAAAAGGAGATAGCAGGAGGGAGAGAGCAGAAAAGAGAGGCAATGTTGAGAGAGGCGGAGGGATTGTTGTGTCTGCTTTGTAATTTTGAGGAATTAAGTGCTTTCCAATTAAAGTCAATGAGTGTTAATGGAGCTTAACAGCTTCAAATAAGGATTGTAGCCTCACCCATCTGCTAAATTTTCTCCAGAGGAGGCTATTAGTGTTCTGGTGTGGCAGAGGCAGACGGGACTGGGCTTATTTTCCAGGAAAACAAAGCAAGAAAAAGGAATAGACCAGGAAAAAAAAAAAACAATCCCACAAAAGACAAAAACCAACCATGAGCGGGAGGGTTCTCCGCAGACCCAAGGAGGAATGGCGGCAGCTTGAGTCGGGTTAGTTTCCGCAGGCTGGGAGCGCAGTGGAGCTATCGTTGGGACGGATTGTGCAGCCAGGAAGGGAGGACCCACTCTGTGTGTGTTTGCTGCGCAGCTCTGACCTGGCCTACGAGCGAGCGTGCTCGATGTCAGCTTGCTCTTCGATTGCCGTTGGGCTGCATCAGTCCATCCGCCTTGTTGTTGGGCAACGCGAGAGTGGTGAGGCCAGGCTGCGGAGATCCTCACTTTGCCCTTGAATTTCCAAGTGGTTCATGTCAACAATTGTGGTAGAACAGTCTCCTTCACGGGAAGGGTCTGAGGAGGCTGTGGATCTGGTTCACCGAATTGAGTCTCATTCAAGAGAGCGGGAGTTTCCTCGAGGAGAGGTGGATACGACCCTTGACATTCAGGGACGTGTGTGTTCCGTGTGCGCCTGGCTTTACGATCGGGGTGGCGGAGTCTACTCTCACTGGCCTTTTGCCATCGGGGTTATAGCATCTGGGACCGCAACAAGCCTTGTGGCCACCTTAGCACAAATCAAGAGTGTGTGTAGCTTCATATTTCAACCTTTTTTCATGTAGATTACTTCTTATATTGATTTTCTTCAGTAGTTCTAAGTTTGAGGTAGGAAGGGAATGACGCTTCATGTTAACTTTTAATTCTGTAAGTAAAGTCAGTTTTATGGTATCTCAAGAAGGATCGTAGGGGTTCTTCACCATGAGTGGTCCTTCAATGCCGTGGGTTCTGTGCCATAGAAACCATCCGAGGAAGGGAGGGGGCTGTGGCAAATACTCTGGGCCACACTCTTCACAGTTCCGTCTGCAACCAGCTGCTGGAAATGGGCCTCTGTTTCCTAATGTGCTCGATGCTCTCCTTGTGCACAGTTGTGGTGTCCGGCAGGCCAGGCTCGGCTGTGCCCCAGCGGCAGATGATCCCCAAATCTCAGTAGCCCACAGAGCAAAGACACGTTTCTCGCCCTGTATGTCCATCACAGGTTGGCAGGAGGCTGTCTTCGTTGGCATTGTGCGGGGTCCCTGGGGGGTGGAGCCGCCACGGCCTCGCCGGGGCTGCATGCTGATGAACTATGCGCTGACGTCAGACGCCTCCTGCCCAGGGTCTCTCATTCCCCTTCTGCTCACATTTCGTGAGTCAAAGCCAGTAAGTTCAAGGAGGTAGAGAAAGGTGATCCCGCCTGGTGCTTGGGAGGGAAATCCCAGCCACCTCATGCGGTCACCCTTCTCCTACTGGGATGTGTTTCAGGGAAGGGGTAGGAAAGTCTATGGAAACTGTCCTGTGGTCGATGAAGTCACACCCCCTAGACTCCTCCTTTCTGCGTGTATGAAACCATCGACCTTTTCCTGTGGCCTCTGGGGGTGCAGAGAGCAGCAGCATTTTGGGGAAATCACATTCCGAGAAAAGAACCAAACTTGGGGAAAGGCAGGGTCAGGACAGGAGCAGAGGCTTCCGGCCCCGGGCCAGGTTCCACGGCCCCGCCCTGGGGCTGCAGCAGAGCTGGCACAGGCGTTGGGTCTGTGTCTGTGGGTTCCAGCTGACAGGCAGGAAGGGCCGGCAGCAGAAATGCCTGTAGGGTGGCCCGACTCCATAGAGCCCACTGTTTAAAAAACTCTGGGCTGTGACTCCAAGTCAGCATCTACTGTGTCACTGTGTCGTGAAAGAATGTTTTAAGGGGCAGGACTCATCTGTTAGGAATCTTATCTGCTGGGATTGCAACACCAGTCTGCAGAAAGCTGTATCAGTTATTGTGAAATATGCAAATATGTTATAACAGAGTGACTGGTGATTCCCCACGACTGGGCATCTGAGAAAAAGAGTGACATCGCGAGGCCAGCGTGGGTGACGGGAAATGGTTTCCTTGGGGTCTCCACATGCCTTGCCCCCAACAGTTGGGATAGAGGCCAAACTCTGTCTGCACCTCCCGGGAGGGGACAGTCACACTGCTGGCAGGGTGACCTCTACACTCCGGCTCCCCTGGGCGGTTTGGCACAGAATGGAGCTGCTGCTGACTGCACGTGTTTGCTAGTGTCCTTCGGGGAACGGGGCACGCCGCAGTGTCTCTGTCCACAGGGCTGGTATACGGACACACGGGAGGGACCAGGGTTGGCATGCCTGGGTGACCGTGGAGACCCTGCCCCTCAGCAGGAGGCAGCCTTGGTGCACCACTCAGGTGTCAGTGGGTTGTGGGGACTCTTTGGATGTCTCAGATTCGAAGTCCCTCGTGTCCAGGGGCCCTACCTGCTTCTCCCTTGCCCTACAGAGGGCTCTGGGGGCCCAAGGAAGTCTTCAGGGCATGTGGATGCCCTGGCCCTCTCCGCTCGTGTCTCCTGCCCCGTGCTCACCACACTCTCTGCCCTGCCTGAGTGTAAACCCTCGGAGGGCAGGGAGCCACTTAACCTCAATGCGCCTCCGTTTCCTGCTCTGTAAATGCGCAGTCCCAGGGACCTCTGCCTCCTACCATTCAGTCCTAAGGATCCAATGATTAAAGATGAAACTAGGTGATAATTAACAAGTATTCTCTGTGGGCACTTGGTGAATGTTAATTTAGTCCTTACCGTAACACTGGCCAGTGGGGACTCTCATTTTGAGGAAACTGAGGCACCGGGAACGACTACCTTGCTAGTGAGCCCAGCTGGCCCCAGAGACTACCTAACCCTGGGTTACCCTGCCTCTCACAGCGAGGGGGCAGATTCAACCCGTGAGGGGCCTCGAGTAAAGCGCTTACCCAGTGTTCGCTCTGATCACTCCGCGCCCTGCTGGGATCCCCAGGCGACACGAGGCTGGATGCTGGATCACAGGAGAAGGATGCATAAGACCGCGGCATCCCGGCACCTTTCCGGCACCCCAGGCCGGGGCCTGGCCCAGCAAGGTGCTGGCGCTCTGCGTCATCTCTGCTCCTCTGCTGGGCACATGGAATTTCTCAGGCTCAGGGCTTTCGTAGAGTGAAGAGTGGTGGGCGGGGCTTAGTATTCTGTATAAAGTAAAAACCAGGTGAGCAAAGCATATGCCAGAAAGCAGCCCATGCAGCTGAAAAGAGAAACATGAAATAATGGTAAAGGTGCAGAAACGCATGTGCCCTTGACCTTGAACAACACGGGTTTAACTTTGCTGGTCCACTTACGCGCAGATTTTTTTTCAATAAACACTGTAAATGTATTTTCTCTTCCTTATGATTTTCTTTTTTAAAAGGACTTTATTTGTTCATTTTTTGAGGTTGGGGAAGGGAGGGAGAAAGAGAAGAGAAATACCGATGTACGAGGAAAACAATAATCGGCTGCCTCTCGCACGCCCCCAGGTGGGAAGCCGGTCCGCAACCCGGGCCTGTGCGCGCCCTGATCAGGGATCAAACCGGCGACCTTTCAGTCGACAGACGACGCCCAAGTCACTGAGCCACCCCAGTCGGGGCCTCATGATTTTCCTTTTTCGAATGTACTTTGTAAGAGTAGAGTATATAATACATACACAAAGTATGTGTCCATCGACTCTGTTATTGGAAAGACTCCCAGCCCACAGCGGGCTACTAGTAGTTAAGTTTTGGGGGGTCAACAGTTATGCGAGGACTTCTGACAACACGGGGTTTCGTCCCCGCAACTCCCCGAGCTGCTCAAGGCCAACTCCAGGGTGACACAGAACACCTGAAACATCGGTGTGGGCTCCGCTGCCCGCAGGGGAGAGCAGGGAGGGAATCTGCTCCAACGTCTTCGTAGTGGGCGAGAGCTGACTTTTCTTATCTCTAGACTTTGTACTCATCTCCCTCATTTTCCACAGTGAGCAGGTATTGCTTGTGCACTTGGGCAAAGTTATTTAAGCAGAGAAAGGAACATCTATGGAGATGGGGAACATCTTTCTGAATTTTTTTTATTTTAGCATCTCAGTTGCAAAGAATGCGCATTTCCTCTCAGGTCCCCCTCCCCCCCCCGGGACAGTGGGAGGGGAGGAAAGGAGCAGGCTGGGGTGACTCCCTCTCCAGACAGTGGGAGGGAGGACACGCGTGTGTGTGTTGTCTGGGGCAGAAGCGGGAATGGAAGCTGCCCCCTGCCTGTGCGTCCTGGTCGCGCTCCTGAGGTGGGGCTCCCTTACAAGTGAATCCTTTCTCCCAGGTGTCCCGGTGACCACACTGCGTGCATCCTGACAACAGGTCGGCCGCAGTGCCCCTCTAAGCCTGTCACCTGCCTTCCCGAGACTTTCGGCGGACAATGACCTCTCTCTGTTCCGGGGTGCCAAGTTCCCCTCATTCAGAAGCCTTTGCTTTCTTTCCTCCATTATCATTACCCTCTGTCATTTCGTTTGCTTTGCATTTGGTGGTCCGGTAGGGTTCTGCCAGTCACAGTCTGTCTGTCTGTAAGCCCCCAGAGGGCTTTATTCACTGTAGGTCCTGTAAGCTGCACAAATGCGCGATGACTGAAAAAAGAATCATGAATGTCAACCAGAAGTCTTCTGTTCTTACCCTCAGGTCTTTTAGCAGCCTCATCGCCCCTCGGGCACTAAGACTGCCTTGAAGTAGGTCTCTCCGGGCAGCTGTAGCTGTCTGCTATGCCAGCCCTGCTACCCCTCCTGTTTCTCCCAAGGCCAATTTCATTCATTCGCGCACCATTCATTATAATCTTTTCTTTGATTCTGCAGACGCCAGAAAGACATGGGGCACTGAAGACTGAAGGAGAGAAGGTTGTTTTAATGTATTTGGACTTACTTCAAAGAACGATGCCAGGAACTTAAAAAGGTATTGTTAACTGCTCATTTAAATTTCACATTCTCAACTGGTATTCCTTCTAGAAACCAATTTTCTAAAGCTATGGATCTTAAAAGGGGTCGTAGAATTGACTACGATAAAAAAGGCTGAATCGGTATATAATATGTAAGTACTTTTCTTAGTGGGATAGTAAGAAATCAATCTTGTCATCTCCCCAAAAGTCTGTCTACCTCTGTTCACCGGCCTTAGCAGAGGAGAAAGGAACCCGCAAGCAGAAGCAATTAAATGAGGATTTTTTCTTTTAACACGCCAGATCACTGTCTTCAGCGTGACTCTCGCTTGCTCTGAATAGACAGACATATTCCAGGACCAAAGGGAGCGGGAGGGACCTTTCCCAAGGCCTTTGCTTTCTTACAGGGGCCGCGCTGAGAGGCAGGGGCCCTGGCTCCCGATTGTCCTCTACCAGGAAGACACGTTCAGCCCAAGATGAATTCGGGACAAGCAACCACTTGCTCCTTTAACCATGGAGAAGCGGGGCCACGGTGAGATGGAAATAATCCCCTCAGAGTGTCCCCACTCCTACATTAAGTTGTTGAAAAGCAACCGCGAACTCCTGGTCACGCACATCCGCAACACTCAGTGTCTGCTGGACAACCTGCTGAAGAATGATTACTTCTCGACCGAAGATGTGGAGATCGTGGGCGCCTGCCCCACGCAGCCCGACAAGGTGCGGTGGGAGGGGTTGGCCTGGCTGGAGGTGGGGCTTGGTAGCCAGAGGCGGGGCTTCTCCCAGGGGACCTGAGTGAAGGGCTTTGGGAGTGCAGCCCACTGGGCAGAAGGTCCCACTGCGGCCATTTCTAGAACAGAGAGGCTGGAGTTGTGGGCTCAGTGCACCAAGGCGTGTTGTACCTCTGTGCTCGTGTGAACAGCAGATTCGTACATCTCTCCTGGCTGGGAACATCGGTTCCCCAGCAACCCATTCTTCAAGTCACTTTAAATTAGCAGGAGGGACAAAGAAAATGAGTGTGAACCAGGAGCAGTGACATCCACTCGGGGCCTTTACTTTAAAGGCTGGGCCGCTGCTCACTGATGGCAAGACCGGTGTGGCCCTCTGGCTCGGACGACGGCATCCGAAGCCAGGTCCACCATAGAGAGTTCTCCCTGCTCCACCGTGGGAAGTCTCAGCAGCCCTGGCTGTCACTCTAGCTCTGTGTCATTGGAAAAATAAAATGGGCAAGACCCAATTCTCCTTCCTGCTTAGAGCAGGGACAGGCCTGCTGGGCTTGGAAGAGAGCGGAAGGGTGTCGGTAAAGTACAGTAGCTCACTCTGGCGCTTATTTTCCCCTGTGCTTTAAAGAATGCAAAAAGCGTTTTTAAAGGTCTACCTTACCTGGGGGTCTGCTGTCCCTTTGCCGAGTGACCCAGTGCCCACCTCATTTGCCCCTGGGGTGGTCTCTCCCCTCAGCCCTCAGCCCTGGAGAGCAATAGTGTTAGTTGCAGAGAGAAAAGGCAGCATGGAAAATTCCAGGGGTGGGCATGGCCTGGTTGTGAGTTTGACCTTACTTTCAGGCTCGTGGAGGCCTCCCGGTCTCAGAGCTGTGTGGTTCCTGCATTTTGCCATGTGTGATGTGCACCCTCGGTTTCTGCGGGAGTCATACACAGGAGTATTATACCTATGTTTAATGTGCATTCTCATTTGTCCCTCAAGAATTTGGGCAAAAAGTATGCATTATCCATGGCAAAACACAATATTTCTAGCTAATGTGGCCCATTCCACAGATTCTAGGCCTTCCACGCAGAGCATCTCACTTTGGCTGGAGGGCCGTCCAGGCCACAGTGAGAGCTCGGGGCCCTGCTGTGGGGGCCTCTTCTGGGTGAGGACACGCCTAAGCACCAGGCTCACGCCCTCATGCTTGTTCCGTTACCAGGTCCGCAAAATTCTGGACCTGGTGCAGAGCAAGGGCGAGGAGGTGTCCGAGTTCCTCCTGCACGTGCTCCAGCGGCTCGCCGATGCTTACGTGGACCTCAGGCCGTGGCTGGCGGAGATCGGCTTCTCCCCTTCCAGGCTCATTCAGAGCAAAACGGTGGTCAACACCGACCCAGGTACAAGTCAGACCGGGGGGACAGCGGACACCAGGCAGACAGGGCCCTGGGTTTGGGAATGCTGTAGCGGGTGGGCTCAGGAGGTCATGCAAGCTGGCCCACCACGGACGGGCCCGGGTGCTGGGTTCCTTTTAGAAAAGGAGAGCTGGTCCCTGTCATCCGAGGGTAGCCCAGGGGACTGTCACTGAGGTGACCACGGGCAGCTGTTCTGCTTAAAGAGGGGCCCGTGGGAGTGTGGGAATGACCTCTGTTCTGACCTCCTACTTCCCATTCTGACGTGGGTAGACATCCTCATGGTTGCACCAATTCAAGGCTGCAATTTCCCCCCTTTAAAACTCTTTCCAGATTTGATTCTAGACAAAGTATTCTTCTCTCACCTTTGACTGCCAGTCCCTATTTCCAAAGTGCCACGGCGTCCCATCAGTTAACTGAGGAATTCAACAGGCATTAATGGGCCGAGGTACCTTGCAGGACACCAGGGTCCAGTGGGACCCAGATACGGTTCCCGCCCTCAGAGAGCTGCCAATAAATTGTCACACACAGGCAGCATCTCGTCAGGGGCCGGGGTGGAGGGGGTGGGGGTCTTCTTCCTATGCTCACACCCTCTCTACTTTGAGACTGTTGCTGGCAACATACCAGCACCAAAGTCCTACACGCCAGTTTTTAAAGAATCCAGTGTGACCTTGACAACAAAAACAAAGGACAGTGGCCCAGAAGGCGTGTGTTTAGGGGAAACCAGGCCAACCAGCAGGGTCAGGACCAAATTCCCTGGCTGCCTGCCGCCGCTAGCGCCCCACCTCACTGCTGGCCTTGAAGGAAGACGGGAAATATTCCCACAATGAACAGTTCTCTCAAAGGACTCCCACGAGTTCCGTTAGCCAGCGACTTGGATAACTTTTGAAGTATGATGCACTCTACAAGAAGCCAGCTGTGAAAGGCTACGTATAATGTGATTCCATTTACACGAAATGTCCAGCAAAGGCAGATTTCTAGAGGCAGGAAGCAGAGGGGCTCAGCTGCCTCAGACCAGGGGTGGACGCCGACCCTGGCTGCCAATGGGCTTCCGCCGGAGATGCTCTAGAACTGGAGTGTAGTGACGTCTTCGAGACTTTGTCGCGTTACTAAACATCAGCGACTAGTACACAAAAGCAATTGTAAAACGGGTGAATTTTATGATATGTAAATTATGTCTTAGTAAAAGTGCAGGAACTACAATTCACTTAGCAAATTTTAAGTCGACAATCCAGTTGGATGGGTGGGAAGGCTTATAGATAAGCCGGAAACGTGCGTGTATGCCTGAAGTTTGTTAATTAGATGATAATAAGAGCCCAAAGCCCATTTTAAAGGAAGGTGTGGAATACCTTTTTGTCTGGGGCGAGGCCACCTTCCTTCTGGCGTGAGCCCCGTCCACGGCCCTGGTTTGCGGAGGGCGTGGAGCGGAGCCCATGTGAGTGCCCCACTGCGTCTGCTCCCCCGCAGGCAGGCCCAGGGCTCGCCCTGGGGCACGTGCCCAGCCTCGGTGACGCCCTGTCTCAGCTTGGGAGCAGGGTGGGCATGCCCTTCGCAGTCTAAGGGGGCTGGTTTCATCTCGATGTGCTCACTTGTGGTGATTTAGATGAGGCACGGCTCCTTGGCCATCCAGTTTAACATCCCGTGTTGTATTTTATCACCAAAAAATGCTGGCATTCGGTTTTGTGAGACCATGAGTTGTTTCCAGAGTGGGGTAACACATTCATTATAGAAAGGTCAGGGCAGCTCGGCCCCAAAGACTTTCAGAGGGGACCGGCTCCAGCTGGTTGAGCAGGGCTCTGGGGAGGGTGTGGGGCCACAGGGCCAGTGGGCCTGGCCTTGGAGTGAGAGAGAGCTTCAGTTTCTAGCTGGAGTTCAATAACAACTTGCGCAGGGCAGGGTGGAGCCTGTCTCAGACACTATTCCAGTGTCTGGAGTCCGTCACCCTCTGGCTGGCCCAGTCCGAGGTCAGGTGGAGGCGCCAAGGCCCGAGGACCGGCAGATCTCGCAGCTCTGGCTCTGGGAGGGTCCTCAGGGCCTGCCTTGGAGTCACTCTCACCCTTGGCCTCAGGGTCCAGGCCTTGGGTTTGTCTGGGTGCTTGTTTCTCCTCCTGAGACTTCCCCAGTTGATGCTCTTTGGTCTCTGCTTCTCTCTCTCTCTTGCTCTCTCTCTGCCTCCATCTCTCCTGGGGCCCCTCATCTCCCGGGATGCCTGTGCCCCACCCGCCTCGCTCTCCCGCCAGTGAGCAGGTACACCCAGAAGCTGCGACACCAACTGGGCCGAGACTCCAAGTTCATCCTGTGCTACTCACAGAAGGAGGAGGTGCTGCTGGAGGAGACGTACACAGACACCATCATGGAGCTCGTCAACCTCAGCAATGAGAGCCTGGGCAGCCTGGGCAGCCTGGCCTGCCTCCTGGACCCCTCCACGGGCGTCCTCAACGAGCAGGGGGAGACCATCTTCGTCTTCGGCGATGCCGGCGTGGGCAAGTCCATGCTGCTGCAGCGGCTACAGAGCCTCTGGGCCGCCAGCCAGCTGGACGAGGGGCTCAAGTTCTTCTTCCACTTCCGCTGCCGCATGTTCAGCTGCTTCAAGGACAGCGACACGCTGAGCCTGCAGGACCTGCTCTTCAAGCATTACTGCTACCCGGAGCAGGACCCCGAGGAGGTGTTCGCTTTCCTGCTGCGCTTCCCCCACACCGCTCTCTTCACCTTCGACGGCCTGGACGAGCTCCACTCGGACTTTGACCTGAGCCACGTGCCCGACACCTCATCGCCCTGGGAGCCTGCCCACCCCCTGGTCCTGCTGGCCAACCTGCTCAGCGGGATGCTGCTCAAGGGGGCCGCCAAGGTGCTCACGGCCCGCACGGGCATCGAGATCCCACGGCAGCTCCTGCGGAAGAAGGTGCTTCTGCGGGGCTTCTCCCCCAGCCACCTGCGGGACTACACCAGGAGGATGTTCCCCGACCGGGCCACGCAGGCCCGCCTGCTGGACCAGCTGGAGGCCAACCCCAACCTCTGCAGCCTGTGCGCCGTGCCCCTCTTCTGCTGGATCATCTTCCGCTGCTTCCAGCACTTCCACGGCACCTTCGACAGCTCCCTGCAGCTGCCCGACTGCTCCGTGACCCTGACCGATGTCTTCCTGCTGATCACCGAGGTCCACCTGAACCGGACGCAGCCCTCCAGCCTGGTGCAGCGGAACACGCGCAGCCAGATGGAGACCTTCCGCACCAGGCTGGGCACCCTGCACTCGCTGGGGCAGGTGGCCCACTGGGGCATGGAGAAGAACCTCTTTGTCTTCAGCCAGGAGGAGGTACAGGCCTCTGAGCTGCAGGAGGCTGACCTGCAGCTGGGCTTCTTGCGGGCCATGCCTGAGCTGGGCCTCGGCGGGGACCAGCAGTCCTATGAGTTTTTCCACACCACCCTGCAGGCCTTCTTTACCGCCTTCTTCCTCGTGGTGGACGACAAGGTGGGCACTCAGGACCTGCTCAGGTTCTTCCAGGAGTGGGTGCCTCCCGGGAAGGCAGCAGCTGTGTCCTGTTCCCCCCTCTCCTTCCCTTTCCAGTGCCTGGGGGACGGTGGCCTGATGGGGGAAGACCCCTTCAAGAACAAGGATCACTTTCAGTTCACCAACCTCTTCCTATGCGGGCTGTTGTCCAAAGCCAAAAAGAAACTCCTGCAACACCTGGTGCCAGCTGCGGCCCTTAGGAAAAAGCGCAAGGCCCTGTGGGCACACCTGTTTTCCAGCCTGCGGTCCTACCTGAAGAACCTGCCCCGTGTTCAGACTGAGGGCTTCCACCAGGTGCAGGCCATGCCCACCTTCATCTGGATGCTGCGCTGCATCTATGAGACACAGAGCGAGAAGGTGGGGCAGCTGGCGGCCAGGGGCATCTGCGCCAACTACCTCAAGCTGACCTACTGCAACGCCTGCTCGGCCGACTGCAGCGCCCTCTCCTTCGTCCTGCACCACTTCCGCAAGCGGCTGGCCCTCGACCTGGACAACAACAACCTCAACGACTACGGCGTGCGGGAGCTGCAGCCCTGCTTCAGCTGCCTCACCGTCATCAGGTGAGGCTGCCGGGCGCAGGGAGCCCTGGCAGGCTGAGGCGGGCCAGGCTGGGGGACCCCCTAGGTTTCCCTGGGAATCACCACCGCTGGTCCTGGAACATGCACACCGTCTCTGTCTCAGGGCGGCAGGAAGCAAGGAGCAAAGCTGCAAAGTCAGGTGGACCTGCTGCTGCCCCAGCTGAGTGTCCTTGAACGAGGGCTTCGCCTCTCTGAGCCTCAGTGTCCTCGTCTGGAGAAAGGAAATGCTCGTATCCCAGCCGTTAGGGTGCAGCTGAGCCTTGAACAAGGCAGGGGTTAGGAGTGCGGAACCCTTGCAGTCAAAAGCCACAGAGAACTTTTGACCTTCCCAGCACTTAACGACGAGTAGCCGGCTGTTGCCTGAAAACCTTACCGAGAACATAAACAGCTGACCAATTATATAAGGTGCAGGCAAAAGTAGGTTTACAGTTGTGAGTACGTGAAACAGTGTGTATCATCATATTATCATTTATTAATTACTGTATTATTTTCCATATGAACCACTGCAAACCTACTTTTGCCCACTCCTGTACCTATGTGGTATGTTCCATGGATCATATACTGTATTCTTACAATAAAATAAGCTAGAGAAAGGAAAATGTCATTAAGAAAATCATAAGGAAGAGAAAAATACATGGTATTTTATGCGTTCGTGACATAGCTGACTTTCTCTTAATTTTTTCAGTGTTTTTAGGCTCTACGGCTTATCTGTTTTCTCAAATTTTTGCAAATCTCCAAGAAAGTTTTCAAGGTATTTATTGAAAACATCACGTATCAGTGGCTCAAACAGCTCGCAGCCATGCTGTTCAGGGTCAATGGCAGTGACGACAATCAGCATTTACTGAGAAAGGGTGAAGTCGTTACAAATACTTCCTGATTTAATCCTCTTAACGCACCCCAATAAATTCAATAAAAGTTAAAAAAGTTAATAAAATAAATATGCTTAATTTAAGAAGTTCTGTAAGGTAGATACTACCTTACAGCCTTTATTTGGGCCAATGAGGAAACGGAGGCAGAGAGAAGGTGATACATTGCTCAAGGTCACCCAGCTGGGCCACGGTGGAGCCAGAACCAAGAAGAACTTACATTTTGCGATGTACGCGAGGCTCAGAGGTAGCCCCTGGCTGCAGAAAAGGCCGACTCCGTGTGAGTTGGCATTTGTTGCTTCCCGTGACCAAAGCAGCGTCCGTGAGCTGCCAGGGATCTCAGTGAAAAGCACTGCCTCTTGATGAGCTTCCTGTTGGCTGCTTTAGGGAAACGAGAGGCCGGCCTGCTTTCTCCTATTAGCATTGCCCATATACACCTGGAAATCTCTCCACGGGAGTTAGTTCTCCATTAGTCGGCTCATGCATCTCTAGGGAGCAGAGGGGATTTGGAATCGTTTTTGGGTAACTGTTCCATCGGTGCCAGAGTGTAAATTGTGTGGGAACAGTGGGGTATGGGGAGCCCAAGGCCGCCCGGGCCCAGGAATTGAGAGAGGCCTGGGGTGTCTCCTCTGTGTTCAGCCAGCATCTCTCCATCCGCAGCCTCAGGCAGCCTGAGACTCAGTGCCTCCCTGTGCTCATCTCGTTAGACGGAATCTCCACACCAGTGTGGGGGTCCTGCCCCAGGCCACTGCCCCAGGTTTTTCTCCACACCAGTAGAGGAGAAAGCAAGAGGGAATGGGCCACCCCAAGGAAACATTTTGAGCTCTGTGAAGATATCCGTTAGGATTAGTTTCAGCTGAGAGAGAAAACTCGAAGTATCAGTGATTTAGATAATGTACAAGCTTACGTGTCTCTCAGGCAAAAGTCTAGAGGAGGGCAGTCCCGGGCTGCACGTGCTCCTGTGACCCTCAGGAGCCCAGGCTCTCTTCTGCCTTGCTATCCTGCCGCCCTCGCTTCCTGGCTTCCACCTCTTGGCCCAGGATGGCTGCTCAAGCTCCAGCCGTTCAATCAACATTCTAGCCACCTGGAAGAAGGAAGGGCAAAGGACACACCCCATGGTTTTAAGAAGACTTCTCAGTTATTGCTAATGATTCTTCTGCTCAAATTTCATGGGGCAGAGCTTGATCACATGAGCCTAGATAAAAAAATGGGGAACTCCGTGTCTAGGAAAGCATAGGTATTGGGAGTGACTGGCAGCTCCTGCCACATTGGGACAGCAGTGCCTTGTGCGTAGACACTGTGCCCAGTGCCAAGGTGGGGACCACTGGGGGCGGGGCCCAGAGTGTCTGACCCTGACATTTGGATGAGGTCTAAAAATCAAGCTTTTACCTGTTCAGCCTTTTACTGAGTAAAAGCCGTGCGTGCAATCTGGCCCGAGGCTTGGGTTTGTTTGTAGATGAAGTTTTACTGGAGTGGTCACAGCCACTTGTTTACAAATTAGCATCTTCACACAAAGGACTTGAGTGGCATGGAGGCCACCCACAAATGCAGGATGTCCGAGGTGGCTGTCCTCACGTGCCCTTCAGGTGTCCCCCAGAGTCCTTGTGTGGGGTCAGGGCTGTGCCGTGGCCTCGCCGCCGGGCTGGTTCTGGGCGGGCGTGTCGGCCCCGTGCTGACCGGGCTTTAAGTTCGGGGCTGTCTGGCTGGCTGCTACGGCCATTCCCTCGGGTGGCATTTATGGCTGGAAAAGTCCGGAACCTTCACAGGCCTCCAGGTCCTCATGGAATGAATGTCCCCTCTTGGTGTGCAGCGGCCGTCCTATGTAACTTCCTCCGCTGTTTTGTCTCAGGCTCAGCGTAAACCAGATCACCGACGCTGGGGTCAAGGTGCTGTATGAAGAGCTGACCAAGTACAAAATCCTGACGTATTTAGGGTACGTATTTCTCAAGAACACCAGCCCAGGTACGTAGTAATAACACAGAGCAGCAGGAGATTGCCCTTCACGTGAGCGACCAGATGGCTGGGGCTGATGGCCAAGGGCGCCAGGAGGTGCACTGGGCTGGGAGCCAGGAGTCCCGGGCGCCTCTGCCGGTTCAGCCAGCAGCCCGTGCCCAGAGCAAGTCAGGAAATCACGCCGGGCCTCTGCCTCCTCACTTGTGTCATTGGGATCCTGATAATACAAGTGAGTGGCTCTATGAGTGGCGGCTGGGGGGGTGCAGTGAGAGGCTGTCTTGGGGGATGTTTTATAAACATTAGAAAACTGTGTGTTAGGGCTTCATTGCGATGGGTCCATGATCCCTCAGCAGGAGCCTTGGGGCATGACCAGTGGGGCTCTGGGGCCAATACCCCGTTTTAAATCCTTGAATATTTCTGCAGCCAAGTGTATGAATAGTCATGCCAGTTGCAGGCCACAAAGAGCTCCCTATCCATTGCCACAGTGCTTATGAAAAACTTTGGGTTTTCAGAGCCCGGGATTCCGGTGTGTTGGGATAGCCAGCCCCACGTCACTGTCGACTCCGTAAGCGGGCGCCCATCAGCCAGTGTCTTGGGCCTCAGTTCCCTGAGCTGAGGAGTGAGGACAGGGTGCCAGGCCGCCCTTTGGCTCGGGAGTTCTGTGTGAGCGTGGGGCCCTGGAGTCCTGTCCAGTCCCACGCTCACCTTCTGTGTGCGCGTTGCTGAGTTGGTATCAAGTGGTAACATGACTACAAGGCAGACACCAAGGAGATCCCAATACTCAGGAGCTTCTCCCCCCACAAGATGCTGGTTGGTATCTTAATCTAAAAATGCCCATTGCCTGCCATTTGTTGGGTGCTTACAGGCAGGGGCTTAGAATGATGTCACGTGGTCCTCAGGACAGGCCTGTCAGGGAACTGTCACTCCTACCCCGGTATTACAGAGGGAGAAACAGCGGCACAGAGACATTCAGTACCTTGCCCCAGGTCACAAAGCTGGAAGGTGGCAGAGCGCTTTGTGAGATCCCAGCCTGTGAGACCCCAGGACCCCAAACTCTGGTCTCCGGGTGCCCTTTCTTTCCTCCTTCAACCCAGACTTTGGAAATCAGACGCACATGCTCAGATTTTTTAAAAAATGGGGTCATTAAGACGACACTGGGAGTCATCGAGGGTTACGACTGTGCTTTCTCTTGAAGCTTGTACAACAACCAGATCACGGACATTGGAGCCAGATACGTCGCCAGCATCCTGGACGAGTGCAAAGGCCTCACGCACCTGAAGTAAGTGGGGCGGGTGTGGTGGGCTCCTTAGCAGCGTCTCCTGGTCACCCTTCCTTATTCAAACAAACAAACAAACAAACAAAAATGTCACCACGAAGAGCTCTCACCTAAAGCCTTCTTCGGCGTGCCCAGGAGCCTTATTGGTGAGAATAGGAGACCTGTGTGTGCAGGTGAGCTGGCCACCTGCAGGATCTCTGACTTGTGGGTGGGGCTCAATTTGGGAGGGACCACTTACCATTGGAGTGGGGGAGGGAAGGTCGCAGCTACCACCCTTTTGGAGGTCTTTTTTCCCCCAAGGAAGTTCCCCCTTGTCCTAGTCCCTTCAGGCTTCTATAATAAGATATGGCAGCCCTGGCATAGCTCAGTAGATTGAGCGCGGGCTGCGAACCAAAGTGTCACAGGTTCGATTCCCAGTCAGGGCACATGCCTGGGTTGCAGGCCACGGCCCCCAGCAGCCGCACATTGATGTTTCTCTTTCTTTCTCCCTCCCTTCCCTCTCTAAAAATAAATTTAAAAAATCTTCAAAAAAAAAAGATATCGCAAGCTAGGTGGCTTACAAACACCAAAAATTTATTTCTTTTGATTCTGGAGGCTGGGGAGTCTAAGATCAAAGCATTGACAGGTTAGGTGTCTGGTGAGGGCCCGATTCCTGGTTCATAGATGGGGCCTCACCGTGTCCTCACCTGGTGGAAAGGGGGCAGGGAGCTCTCTGGGGCCTTTTTATAAACTGCTAACCCCATTGCTGTGGGCCCCACCTTCACGACCTAGTCACCTCCCCAAGGCCCCGCCTCCAAATCCATCACCCTGAGGGTTAGGGTTGGGGGTTAGGGTTTTGGAATACGGATGTTGGGGAGGACACAGACTTTCAGACTGCAGCACCCATCTAGTTGCAAGGAAGAGCTTACTTTACCAAGGGTGGCAGAGCACCAGGCTTGCAGGAGCCCCTGGTGGTGGGAACACAGACCTCAGCCATTTGCAGTGAAGTGGGAACACACCCACCCCTCCGTCTGCTGATGGGAATGAGTGATGCTCCAGAGGTCATTTAAAGAACCCCCCCTCTCCCCAGGAAAGCTCGTGTCACTGAGTTTCTGCCTGTCTCCTGGAGGGGAGTCCCGACTGGCTGTCCTCCAGGCCTCGGGTCCTTCCCTGGGGGGGGGTGCGGAGCACAGCTGCTGTGGCTCCCAGGAGAAAGGCCACGCCTCCCAAGAGGCACCAGAGGGGCTCCGTGCTGGGGACCAGGGTGGCTGAGCCTCCTCGCAGCTGGAGGCTCACGCGGGCACAACTCTCTCTGCAGAATGGGGAAAAACAAAATAACGAGTGAGGGAGGAAAGCGTCTCGCCCTGGCTGTGAAGAACAGCAAGTCCATCTTTGAAGTTGGGTGAGTAGAGACACATGCCGTGTGCATGCGGAACCCCACCTGTTCTGCGTCCGTGAGCACCTGCTGGGCTTCTTGTGCGTAAATGCACCAACCGAGCCGCTGGGCAAGCTGTGTGGGAGGGGCCCGGAGAGCTTTCCTCGGGGAGGCCCCAGTGGGCCCCACACGTCTCTGCACGGGAGACGCTGTGGGGAGTCCCCAGATGGACAGCAACGTTTACTGCATGGACTTTTATTTGATTCATGAAAAAATCCACATTATCACCTCCAGCAAGTGGAGGAAGCTCTTCTAGTCCGGAGTGGTGAGTTTCCACAGACAGATGTTCCTTACTAAGAATATTGTATATTCCCTGGAGGGTTTTTTTAGTTTAATTTTTTTGTTGTAGTTGAATACACATAACATAGAAGTTACCATCTTAATCATTCATAAGCGTACGGTTCAGGGACACTAAGCCCAATCCTATGGGTGTATGACCATCACAACTACCCATCTGCAGAACTGTCTTCATCTTGCACAGTGAGAAACTCTCTGTTCATGAAAGAGCCACTTCCCCCCTCCCCTCCCCCAGCCCCTGGCAAGCACCGTTCTACTTCCTGTCCTGGTTTTTTTTTTTTGACTCCTGTTTGTCCCCCCTGGAAGTGGAGTCCTAGAGGATTTGTCTTCCTGAGACTGGCTTATTTCACTTGGCATGAGGTCCTCAAGATTCACCCATGTTGTAGCGTGGGTGGAGATTCCCTTCCTCTCCAGGGCTGACTGACGGCCCACTGCAGGCAGGTGCGGGGCACAGTGTGTTCACCCGCCCACCTGTGGACAGGCACGTGGGTCACGTCCACCTGTTAGCTGTTGTGAGCGGTGCCACCATGAGCGTGGGTGTGTGCGTGTCTCTTGCAGACTCTGCTTTCCACGCTTTCGTTTTGTTTTTCATTTTTTTGGCTCTATACCCAGAAGTAGAACTGCTGGATCAGATGCTAATTCTATTTTTTATTTATTTTTTTTTGACAAAACACCATACTGTTTTCTGCAGTGGCTGCATCATCTCACATGCCCACCCACAGTGCACGAGAGTTCCAGTTTCTCCACATCCTCGCCAACACTTGTATTTTCTGTTTTTATTTTTTAATAGTAATCATCCTAATGCACGTGAGGTGGTATCTCACTGTGGTTTTGGTTTGCAGGCTTTTTAAACCTTTTTGTATTGTCGTAATGTCTTATTTGATTATAAGAGAAATACAGATAATCTTATTTGTAAATGACGGAAAGTATGAAAAGTATAATAAAAATCAGTTTCTCAGAAATAATTATTATCAACATCTGAGGTCAGTTAAGCTTTCTTGCTCTCGCTATGCCATATTTTAAAGATTTTATTTGTTTTTAGAGAGGGGAAGGGAGGGAAACATCAATCACATGCCTCTCTCATGGCCCCAGTAGGGGACCTGGCCTGCAACACAGGCATGTGCCCTGACCGGGAATCGAACTGGTGACCTCTCACTTTGTTGCTTTGCAGGAAGACACCCAACCCACTAAGCCACCCCAGTCAGGGCTCTCTATACTAGCTCATTTTTTTTAAATATATTTTTTTCTATATTGAGAAAAAATACACTTACAGAATTTTATTCTACCACCTTCACTTAATTAAAAATGTGATACCATTCCATTGGATAGCGCGCACACTTTTTAAGCGGAACACTGGAAACTCTTAGCCTGGGGTTTTAGCCAGCTATCTTGGGAGGAAGGAAGGGAAGGAGGAAGGAAGGGAAGGAGGAAGGGAGGAGAGGAGGAAGGAGGTGCCTTGCTGTGGGAGAACGCTGCACCGCAGCAGCCGTGGGTCTGCTGTGGGTGGGCCAGGCAGGCAGACTCGCTTTGCTTTACGCAGACAGTGCCCCTTGGCCTGCTGGGAAAAACTGGCCCTCATGGTAGGCCAGGCGCTGTTCTGAGTGCTTTGCACGTATCAACTCAACCTCACAACAGTTCTGCGAGGACATGCTCTTATTATCTCCCTTTTATAGACGAGGGGATGAGACCTAAGAAATGACATAAGTCCCCCAAGTGTGTGCACACAGTAGACCAGAGGCCGGATGTGAGGTCCTGCCCCGGAGCCCAGCCCCTGACCTCGCAGACCCCGTTCGGGCAGACCGTTGCCTCGGCCAGGTTCCCTCGGGTGACCCGCTCCAGGGGAGAGGGCACAGCTCTGTCACCGTGGCTCCCATACCCACACCACCACAACCCACACAGCACAGTGCGGCGATGCCCTCTTGCATCGAAGGGTCATCGCTGCAAAGGCTCCCGAATGTGCGTCCTGGGCCTGGCCTCGCGGAGGGCTGGCTGTGCCTTCATGACCCTCTCGGACCCCTGCCCAGAGTCACATGGGTGCTGGGAGGCCAGCACCCCCACTGGCCTTCCTTCAAGGCTGCACACTGTGCGGGTGGCACTTCTGGGACCGCCCTGGGCTTCGGCTCTCAGGGGTGAGACTTGGTCTCCAGTTGTGCAACTTGCTGACGGGCTGCCGTTTGCAAGGCTTCCACCGCCCTTTCTCCTGCCGCTTCCCTCTGAACCTGAGACCCCCGGGGCGGCTCACTCACTCACTCAGGGGCTGGCGTGGGCATTGGTCCCCGGGCCACGGCTCCCCGGACGGAGCGGACACCCCCGCCCGCTGAGTGTGCAGCCCAGCCGTGGGCGCCAGCAGGAAATGTGGGGTAACGTGCACTCACCTTCTCCGTCTTGCCTCTGCCCTCAGGATGTGGGGCAATCAAATTGGTGATGAAGGAGCAAAGGCCTTCGCCGAGGCCCTGAGGAACCACCCCAGCCTGACCAACCTGAGGTACCCGCTGCCCTCTGACGCCCGCTGTCCCTGGGGCCAGCCTGGTCCCTCGTGTGCCTCCCAGTGTGCCGGGGGAGGAGCCGGGGGGAAGAGGGTGCTTGGCCTTCCTAGGGAGAGAGGTGCGTGTGTGCGATTTTCTTCTCTCTAAGATGTTTTTGTTGACGTAGAGGAGGCAGACAGTCAAGCACGTGCTTAGGTGCTCGGCTCGGTGGTTTGACACAGGCACACCAACACCCCCCCCCCAGTGAGGACCGAGGACGTGGCCGGCCCCTCAGCCTCCCCCCACACCCGTGGGGGTGAGGAGGAATTCCGGAGTCCAGACAAAACTGAAAGGGCGCCTTCCCCATTCTCAGGACGGCGCTGGGACGGAGGGGGCCCTTCGTCTCTGTGCACAGGCACACGCCCCCTGGCCCCCCGTCGGGCCTCTGGCCAAACCTCAGAGCCTCGGTGTCCCCCGTTGCCCATGTCCTGCCCGCCACTGACAGAGAACCCGAGATGGTGGGGCAACGGCAGGGTTCCTTCCTGATGAGGACAGAGGAAGCCCACCCAGCGCTCAGACACAGGCCCCTGGAGAATGCCAGCCCCCTGAAGCAGAGCTGGCCAGGCCTCATCAGCCCAGGGTCTGCTCCGTGACCAGGTCCCACCCGTGTCCAGCGGCTCCCCTCTGACCTCACACTCAGAGCAGGCACTCTGCAGCAACAGGGCCCGGGGCTGCGGGCGAGGCTGAGGACTCCTGCCTCGGGCCCTCTGGGTGGGGCAGCTCCTCCAGACGGAGCCTCCTGGCCGTTTCGGTTGCTGCAGCCAAAGCCTGACATAATGACCCGTCCCTGTGTTTTCTGTCCTAGTCTGGCATTCAATGGCATTTCCACAGAAGGAGGGAAGAGCCTCGCCCAGGCCCTGCAGCAGAACGCGTCTCTGAGAATATTCTGGTAATTACCAGAGGTATTTTGAAAGGTTGGATCTCGGGGTTTATTCCAAAGACTGCATGCACCAGCCAAGAATCTTAGTGAAAAAGCCGCCTCTCCATTGAAAAGTCTCTAGACCTTTCCTCAAAGTTAGATCGATAATCTCCCACTGGAGCAGAAAATAGTCCTTCTCAGAAGCACAAGCAGGCAGAGGAGGGGAAGTGGGCTCAGGGGCGTGAGTTCGAGGCCTTAGCCTTCGTCGGCAAGCTGGGCCTCAGGAAACCCGCAGGGTTGGCCTCGGTGCCTGCCGGGGGCAGCCTCAGAGCCCCCAGCTGCGCCACGCAGACGATAGCAGCCACACACTGGGCCCAAAGTCCTCTCCCGTCTTCCTCTTGAACTGCCTTCCTGCCCCTGCAGCCTCCTCCTTCCTCACGCAGCCACGTCGGGGTCTGGCCTTGGTGCTCCGGCTCACCTGTCACCTGTCACCTGTCACAGGACGCCCGCAGTCCTCACGCCCTCTCTGCCCTCCAGGGGCGCTAGTGCATGTTGCCTCTCACCGTGTCCTTTCTTTGTTGTTGTTCCTTTCTCTTTTGGTGGTGATTATTTCATTTTATTTACTTATTTGTGTCTTACTTACTCGCCTGTGTCATCCGTGGCTCAGGGGGAGAGGAAATTCTACTCCGAGTTGACGTGTCTGCCTCTTGAGGCTCAGGGCTCGTGAGACATCGGCTACGCCGTGAAAACGGCGTCACGAGGCGACTCTGGTACCCGGCCTGCTGGCCGGGAAGTGCGGTTGTCATTCTCTTCCTTTCCAAACATACTTTAAAAATTTGGGAAAGTAACATATGCTGCTGGTTTGGTTTTTTTGTAAAAAGTAAGACACAGAAGTCTGAAAAGTAGGAAGTGAAAGTACCTCCTCCCTTGTGTTTTCCAAATATACCCTGTTTTCTTCTAGTCTTTGAGTGTGTGTTGTAGCCTTTCTAGTATTTGAATGCATGTCTATTCAAATATATATATATATATGTATCTATATATATATGTATCTATACATATATATATCTCCACTTTCTGGCAGAATAGAATAGCATTTCCCAAGTGGCTTTAAAAACATCTTGACCATATGTCACCCACATTTTGCATCTTTTATGTCAGGGTTCCTCAATTTCAACACTGTTGACATTCTGATCAGTGGACATTCTTTGTTGGGAGGCGCTGTCCTGTGGCTGGAGGGGTGCTTAGCAGAATCCCTGGCCCCCACCCATTACAGACCAGTCGTCCCCCCAGTTGTGACCATCAAAAATGTCTCCAGACGTTGGCGAGTGTCCCCTGGAGATCGAGAACCACTCTTCCACAAGGAGAGTGATGCCCAACCCGACGCTTCCCGAGCACCGGCGACACCGGGCGTCATTCTCAGCCCGTGTATGTGTTAGCTCACTCTCACGGTCACCCTGTCGGGACTGTGCTATCGCTGTCCGCATTCACCGGTGAGAAAACTCAGGCCTAGAGAAGGGAGACCGCCCACCCGAGGCCGCCTTTGCTCGCAGGCGACACACACCCGGCGTGTCGGGCTCCAGAGCACCTCAGACACTGTGCCCTCCGCCCCCTCCTCTGCACGACCTCATTCTCGAAGGCCTGCCCAACGTTCCGTTGAGTGGACGTTCACGATTTATTTTGCCAGTTGCCTCTATTGATATTTAAATTCGTTCACATTTCCCTTACGACTGGTAGTGCTGCAGTCGATACCGTGTGTAGAGGTCCTTGGGTACCTCTTTGCACACCCCAATTTCTAGAAGTCTAATCGTTGGCTCCAAGTGTTACACGTTTAAAATTTGGGTAGACACTACCAAATTGTCCTTCAAGGAACGATTTTAATGTTTCTATCCCATTCTTCTTCTTTATTTATTCTTTCATCCGCTGGCACAACGGGGTCCAATCCTATTTGCCTCTGGCGCTTCCAGCCCGCGGTGCTTTGTCCAGAGCACTTCCAGTCTTAAGAACAACTGGGAGACCTCCTGACCTTTCCGTGTCTGGCACGGGGCCCTTCACAGCTGGTCTCAGGGCAGGGCGCTGGACACACGTTCATGTGCCATCAGCAGGCTTTTCTGGGTCTTTATCCATCTGACTTGGGTAACCTGCTGTTGGTGGTGCTCAAGAGAGTGAGGGGGCTGGCAGCCACCTGAGAAGCAGGCATGGGCCTCTCATTTTCAGGGGGCTCTGGTCCTCTTAGAGATCTCAGGGCTCGGCAAGGACAGAGAGGGAGTGTGGGCACCTGTGAAGTAAGAGTTTAGGAGTCGACTTTGCCCTAGAAATGAACCACCATTGGTCGTCCATGAGGCTCCGTGGCTGGGCTTGGGGCCTGGCCGTCTGCCGGGTTCTCAGCCACTGACGAGCTGTGTAAGCGGGAGGCACCCGGGCCGGGATCCCACACCTGCGAACTCATTTAGGACGTGAGCCAGGTAGGCCTCTCCGAGTAACACTTCCTTTCCTTTCTAGGCTCACCAAAAATGAACTCGACGATGACGTGGCCGAGAGCATGGCAGAGATGTTGAAAGTCAACCAGACGTTGAAACATTTATGGTAATTCAGAGAACCTTAGAATCTCTGTCTGTGCTGCTTTTAAAACAAATATTGATTTAAGATGCACATGCTATACGATTCACCCTTTTAAAGTGTACAGTTCACTTAGTCTTTAGTATATTCCCAAGGCTGTGCAAACCATCACTACTCTCTAATTCTAGAATAGTCTTATCTACCCACCTCCCCGACCCCCAAAACTTGCGTGTGTTAAACTGTCCTTCCCTGTCCTGTTCCTCCCCCAGCCCCAGACACCCACTAATCTACTTCCAGGGTCCATGGATTTGCCTATTTGGGGCATTTCACAGACGTGGAATCAAACAGTGTGTGGCTTTTTGTCTCTGTGCTCTGTCATTAGTATACATTTTGAAGGTTCATCTACATTATAACTTGTATCAATGACACTTGACCACTTTTTATGGACGCATGCTACTGCACTGTGTGGGTTTCCCACAGTTCGTATGTCCGTTCACACGTTGGTGGACGTTTGGGTGGTTCCTACTTTGGGACCGTTCCGGACGACGCTGCCGTGAACGCTCGTGGACATGCTCGTGCGTGAGCATCTGTTTTCGTTTCCTTGGGTGCATGCGCGCACTTAGGGGTAGAATTGCCGGGTCACAGAATCCCGCTCAGCTAACTTCTGAGGAATTGCCAAACTGTGTCCCGAAGCACGGCTCTACCTGGCATGCCCACCAGTCGAGCACGAGGGTTCCCGCTTCTCCCAGTTCTCCCCATCACCCGTCGTCGTCTGTCGGTTCGAATCCTGCCGTCCCAGGTGGTGGGAAGCGGGACCTCACTGCGGTTTTGACTCGCAGCTCCCTGACGGCTAACAGTGGGGGGCGTCTTTTCACGCTGCTGTCGGCCGTGTGGGTATCTTCTTTGGAGAAATCTCTCCACATCCTTGGCCCATCTTTAAATCAGGTTATTTGCCTTTTTATTGCGGAGTTGTTAGAGTTCTTTATATATTCTGGGTACCAGACATTTGTTAGACATACGATTTGCAAATATTTTCTCTCCGTGGGGTTTTCCACTTTCGTTTTTTTTTTTATTTTAATTTTTTAATAGCAGTTGTATATAAGGTTACTTTATTCCTGCGTAGGCTCACATGTTTCTTCCTTGTATTTGCCCGTCATCTTTCCTTCTTGGCGAGATTTGGCTTCACGTTCGAGGGTCTTTGTGCGGTCATTGCCCAGCTTCTGCCTGGTGGTGACCACCTCACGGGGGCAAATGCCCAGGTGAGCAGGGGTGGGTGGTCCCATTAGCTCTCTCCCACTGCACTCGTTCAGAGTGATGGCACATTTCTTCCTAGAAACCTGGACTACAGTCCTGGCTGGCGTAGCTCAGTGGATTGAGCGCGGGCTGCGAACCAAAGTGCCGCAGGTTCGATTCCCAGTCAGGGCACATGCCTGGGTTGCAGGCCATGACCCCCAGCAACTGCACATTGATGTCTCTCTCTCTTTCTCCCTCCCTTCCCTCTCTAAAAATAAATAAATAAAATCTTAAAAAAAAAAACAACAACACCTGGACTACTCTGCCAATTTGCTACCTTTTGTCAAGTCCTCCCACAGCCCGAACTTCGTCATCCTTTCGGACGGGCACGGGTCACACGCTGCGCTTCTGTCTCAGCTCTCTGGAAGGAGAAGACATGCCACCTGCTACAGTCCCCACCGCGGTCAGAAGGCACACGGGGCCTGAACTTCATTTTGACCGCTGGCCCTTCTGCAGTGGCCGCAAAAGGGAAGAGACACCCACCCGCTGCTTCTGGTTTTTCACTTTCCCGATAATGGCCTTTGAAGCACAGAAGTGTTTAATTTTGATGAAGTCCAGTGTCTCTACCTTTTCTTGGCCAGCTGTGCTTTAGGTATCTTCCTAAGAAATCGCTTCTGAAATCGAAGGTCACAAGGTGTGTGTGTGAAGAAGCTCAAGTTCTGCTTTTCCTTGTGTGTTTTTGTTGTGCTCGTAGACTAGTTTGGAGTTTACTGTTTTGCATGGTGTGAGGGGGCAGCTTCCTTCTTTCGCATGCGGACAGCCAGGCGTCCCCTACCACTTGATGAAAAGACTACCTTTCCCTTCTGAATGGCCCTGGCCCTTTTGCCAAAAAAATAAATTGACCGTAAATGTATGGGTTTATTGGTTTGTCTCTGGACTTCCTGTTCTAGTCCATTGATTAATATGTTGATCGCCTGCCAGCCACACCCTATCCTGCTTATTGTAACTCTGTTGTCATAGGTTTTGAAATCAAGAAGTATGAGTTTTCCAATTTTGTTCTTCATTCGCAGGGTTGTTGTGGCTATTCTGGGCCCCTTGCATTTCCATGTGAATTTTAGATCACCGTATCTGTTTCTGTACAAAAAGACAGACTGTGCTACTTTTTCCTCTTTTTGTCTTGTTGTTGTTGTTGTTGTTGTTTCTGGCTTGTAGATTTTCTTTTGTGCCTGTTCCTGGGTGCAAGGCCAGCCCCTCCAGGGAGATCAGAGCTGGAACGGGACCAGAGAGCGAGTCAGTCTCCGCGGCTTTGCGCCTGCATGGCAGGCTTGTGTGCCTGAGCGCTGCTGGGAGGTTCAGCTCTGTGCCTGCCCAGCCTCTTGCCAGGTCTTGGCTGGGGACGCCTCGCCCTGCCCCACTGGCAAGGGCAGCCATGCAGCCGTGAAGGAAGTGGCTAGAAAACAGCAGAACTCTGTGCCCACTTCCAGGTTTCTATTCTTGCTCCTTTTGCAGAAATGTCAAATTGCTTACCAGGTCAGCACCACTGCTGCTCAGCCCAAGGGTCCCAGCCTCTGGGAACCCAGCCACTGTCGTCCTGGGAGGGATGGGGGGCGGCAGTTATGGGGACGAGCACCCCCTTCCACCGGGCACTGTGGCGCAGGTTGTGAGAAATGCTCATGCATGTCCGTTCACCGAAGCCTCACACACCCAGGCCCGGGAGCTTCTCTTAGACTTACTCCCCTTTTATAGATCGGGCAACGGAGGCACAGACAGCTACTGTTTATTTCCTCAAGGATCTGTAGCTAAGAAGTGGGGAGTGTGTGTGTGTGTGTGTGAAGGAAGCTTTTCACCACTGCCTCTTAAGGGGTAGGCCCCTTCACCCTTAATTTCTATAATAGCATCGATCAACAGCATGGGCCCTTATCTTCCTGGCAGGGCTGCCTTCTTGGGTCCTTCAGTGCCCGGGACTTGTGAGGGTCAAGTTCGGTCATAGCCAGCAGTGAAGAATGAGCCTGCGGTGAAGGGCAGACCCATCACGGCCTGGCGCTGCGTCGATTTCTGGCTGCGGCTGGCAGCAGAGTGGCTCATGGGGGCACTGCAGGGGTGGCCGGGGCTGCCCAGCTGCCCAGAAACCTTTGTTCCCCTTGGATAGCTGCCACTCAGTATGATGGGGTTCCTCGTCGTGGCCCCGTTATCGCTGCTTTCCCCCCCGGGCCCATGAGCGGCACCACAGCTGTTGCTCCTCTTCGCCGCTCAGATGTTGGGGAGGACGCGGTCCCGTCTTAGAAGCCTTGTTTCCCCCAAAGACGAGAATGGCCAGTTGGCAGCTCCTGAGCTGCTCCCCTGCAAGGAGACCCAGCAGCTGGTTCCCTGAAGCATTTCCCAGCATTCGTGTGGTCTGCACACGTTTCCCAGCGGGCTCCTCGGCACTGGAGAATGTCGAGCGCACACACACACATCAATGTTCACATACTGAACTATCTCCGTGTGAACACCCAGACACATCCTGCTCACTCTGAAAGATACAGAAAAATGAAACATTTTAAAGGCTGTCCTGTAGTCAGTGGAGTGACCCCAGACACCCTGAGCCAGACTAACAGTCGCGTGGACTCAGTTCTCCCGCCGACCCTGTCTGTCTCTGGTCCCACCGTCCCGTCACCGTTGCCCCCCAATAAGGGGGCAGGTTCCGTTCAGTACTGTGCGTTGGATACAAAAGGTGTGTCCGCCTTCCAGGCTGATCCAGAACCAGATCACTGCCCGGGGGCTCGCCCGGCTCGCAGACGCGTTGCAGAACAACACCGGCATCATGGAGGTCTGGTAAGACGCACCCCCTGCTAACGACGGCAGCGAGTGCGTGCTCAGCACCCTCGGCTGCCGCCCGCCTGGTACAGGGGCGGGTGATTCCCATTCGTCCCCAGCCGCCCTCACACCTGCGATCCCTTCCCCAGAACTACCCCGTTTCCTGCTGATTCTATCGTTAGGGTGCATCCCACTCCATTCATTATAACGGCTTTTTGTGCGGCTGTCCCCTCCAGACTGTGAGCTCCTGGAGAGTGGGGCCTGTGTCCCGGTCACTGCCGTGTCCCCGGGGGCTTGCACCGCATCTTCACTCACTTGTTGAGTGACCCAGTGCTCGAGTGCCAGGCCCTGTGCTGGCACTGAAAACCCAGTGGTGAACCACAGGGACCTGCCCCCGTGGCTTTGCCATCCATTGGGGGCGGGCGACAGGGTAGAAGTCATTCGAGTACTTCTTTAATGACAACCCCCATGAGTGCCAGCAAGGGGAGAGCTCACGCAGCCGAGGTTTCAGGGACGAGGCCCTTAAGGAAGTGGCATTTAAACTGAACCACTGAAGATGACCAGGACTTAGTTGGGGGTGGGGGGGGTAGTGTTCCATGGAGGGGAACAGCATATGCAAATGCTCTGAGGCAGGAAGGAGTGTGATGCCCAGCAGCCGATGTGCCCGGGGCTCGGGCCGTGTGGAAGAGGGGGCAGCAGGAGGCGGCGGACGTGGAAGGTCACTGAAGGGGTCGAGGCAAAGAAGGGTGTGGTCGGATGTGCGTTGTGAAAAGGGCACTCTGGTTCCTCCGGGGACATGGCTTGGAGGGGACCAGAGTGCACACAAAGGGACCGGTCCGGAGGACCTGGCAGGGAGCCAGAGGAGACACCATGGGTGCTAGGACCAGAGTCGTGGCGGCGAAGATACGGGGAGTCCCAGGGAGGCCTTCTAGGGATGTTCGGGGAGTAAAGCCGGACTGGGTGATGGACCGTGAAGATGAGGAGGAAGGGGCCGAGGCCGACCCCAGCTCGGATGAAGAGTGTGACTCACTGAGCTGGGGAGCCCCGGGGAGGGCGGCCACTCTGAGGTGGCCGGGAGCCACCCAGGGAAGATGTCAAGCAGGGAAGTGGCCCCACAGGGGCGAGGTCCGGGCTCCAGGGCACTGACCTGCGGATGAGGCCACAGCCTGGGGAAAGGGCCTCGCCCCCAGCTTGGAGGAAACCTGTTCTTTAGAGATCACATGGGTGGCGCGGCCAGGTATAAGGGAAAGACCAGAGGGCATAGGGTCAAGCCAAGGGAAGGTCGTGTTTCCAGAAGGAGAAAGAGAGAAAGCAGGACACCCAAATGCCCGTGAAGGTCTGAAAGGACAAGGTCTGAAAAATGCCACTAAGTTCAAGTTCCTAGAAGCTACTGGTGACCTTAGGGAGACCTAGTTCACAGAGTGATGGGAGCAGAACAGGATTCACGTTAGTACAGAATACTCAACGAGAGCACACTCCCTGATTTCAGGGCGGTGCGAAGCACGGGTCGTGCGGAGCACGCGCAGTGCACGGCGCCCCCTGACAGTTCACTCGTTTGCTTTGCTTTTCTCCGCCAGCCTGAATGGGAACTTGATCAAGCCCGAGGAGGCCCAAGGCTTTGAAGATGAGAAGCGGCTTGTCTGTTTCTGAGAGGACGCTTTCCCGTCCGTGGGGCTGGGCCCTTGGGGGGCGCTCCAGCAGCCGCCACCACACTGGGCGGTCACTTGGTCTGGTCACCCAGTCTTCTTCTGCGTCTCGGAAGGGGTCTGCTGAGATGGTGAGTTGGGACCGCCTGCTGGGAGCCTCTGCCTTCGAGATGCAAGTCCACCTCCCCGCAGAGGCTGAGGGGCAGACCACACTCCCTGCAAAACGCTCCCCGCACTGCTGTTGCCGTTTTGCAGGGAGAGGGTGGGCTTTGTAAGACTGTAAACATGCTGTGAAGAGATGTGAACACACGTCCACGGTCACTTTAACCTGAGACTAGAGGAGTACGACTTGGAGCTCCCCCAAACGCCTGCCCTGCGGACCGGGGGAGCAGCGAGCTGGCCACTGCTGTCGTCCGGGAACGATCTGGGGCTCCGTGCAGAAGTCGGCGCTGAGTTTTTGCAGGAAAGGTGCTCTGCGAGCGAGAAGTGTTTGCCCTGGTGTGTTCTCCTTGCTCGGTCCCTCCCCCACGTGTTGCTGTTATTCCCACTTCTCGGCTGTCGGTTCCGAGGTGTGTGCAGGGTGGGGAGGTCGTTGGTGTCAAGGAAAGGACTCGTCACAGGCTTTAGTTCGAGTCCTGGGGTGTCACTGCCAACAGAGACCCCTGGAGCAGGTCTAGGGGAATGGACGAGGCCTCCGTGAGGCTGAGTTTCCACTCGGGGCTTCCTCGGGGCTCGGCTGACCCCCCCACCCAGGACACCAGTACTGGGGGCAAAGCCACTCCGCCTGGGAAGAAGCACCGCCCGCCTTCAAAAGCAGTGAGGCGTGGAGCGCCTTCGTGACCCCGGCACCCAGACAGAAGCGCCTTTCCCTCTCGCCCTCCTGAGGAAGTCTCCTCCTGCCCCTGTGAACCTGGGAGGGCTGCTGGGCTGGAGCCGAGACTCGGGGGGAGCTGCGGAGAACCCGGCTGGCAGAACGCGTCAGACTGCCCACCACGGTGGGCACGGGGTGGATGCCGAACGGGGGGGCCGGGGTGGCGACAGGGCCAGATGACTCGTTCTGTTACCGATGCGTTTGTTAATAAAACAGTGGACACACTCGCTCTTTCTAATTGCCGAGTCTGGGGTTTTTTAAAGGGACTGCGTCTGGTGAGCATGCTCCGTTTCCCAGACCCCAGGCTGACTCCCTCCAGAGTGCCGGGGTGGGGCCCCGGGGTGACATGCTGTGGGGGCAGCCCGTGAAGGAGGGTCCGAGCCCTCCCCATTTCCTTCCCTCATAGGCCTCTCCACCCACCGAGGGGCCGAAAATCGGCCGAGGAAGCAACCGAGGACTCTTCATCCGGCCACCACATCCAAACAGGTCACTCTCAGAGGAGGTGACAAGAGGCAGGGGTGGCTGGGGCTGTGCTAGCCTGGGCCAATGTCACGGCCCTCCCCAGTGTGCCCGACAGGTCCTGGCAGGCCCGGGCCCATGTCCACTACCTTCCTCAGCTGTTCTACTTGGGGGTGGGGGGCACCCAGGTGGGCCGGCCACTCACCGTGGCAAGAGCCCCACACCCGTCGAGGTGGACCCTGGGAGGGGCAGGGGCGAGGGGCCCTCTGACGGTACCTTGCATTCTCAGAGGTGCGGCCTGCTTGGCACAGCAGCCCTGTTAGGAAGGGCACAGGTCAAGAAGTCACCCTGAATGTCCCCGGGGAAATCCTGTGCGGCCACTCAGCCACAGGGTGGCCATTCCCATGAGGCACTGCTTTGGTGGTTCCTGCCCACCCCTTTCTTCCCCCCCCAGAGCTGCACATTCACCCAGTCGTCACCCCCAGAGGCAGTAACTCTCTCCCCACCAGGGACCCTGGGCAGCGGATACACCCAGAAGGCACACGGGAGCGCATGTGCACAGAGTGCAGGCCCCAGGTGTCTGGGGCAGACCTCAGACGCACAGAGTGCAGGCCCCGGTGTCTGGGGCAGACCTCAGACGCACAGAGTGCAGGCCCCCCGGTGTCTGGGGCAGACCTCAGACGCACAGAGTGCAGGCCCCAGGTGTCTGGGGCAGACCTCAGACGCACAGAGTGCAGGCCCCCCGGTGTCTGGGGCAGACCTCAGACGCACAGAGTGCAGGAACCACACCTCCCAGCCAACACATTCTTTTTGGTTATACCACGGACTCTTGACTTTTGAGAGTCTAAAATTTACTCAGAAACTACCAAAGATGACTGCTTTGAGAGACTATCCAAGTTTGCATGGTGTTGCCTTAAATTTTATTCGGAAACATTTTAATCTTCTAGGTAGTGAACGATAGATTTTTCCATCTGTCTTATAAAAGTAAAATCGGGCCTCTGATTTTCCAGAAAGCTTCTCCATTCATTGCTCACAGGTGAGCTTCTAGGCAGAGACAGGGTTACTTTTCTTACACAAGAAAAAGACAATTGCCCTGGCTGGGTAGCTCGGTGGGGGTATTGTCCTGATATGCCAAGGTTCCAGGTTCAATTCCCAGTCAGGGCACATACGACAATCAACCAATGAATACATAAATAAGTGGAGCCACAAATTGTCTCTCAAATCAATAAATAAAGAAAAGAAAAGAAAAAGACCATGGAAAATGGAAAAAAGCAAACTCCACACACTTGGGATATAACCGTTTCCCTTCACAGGACGTATGGGTGGATTTGGGGAAAGAAATCACAGCTCCCTTATTTCAGACCCGCATTCCTGGCATGTTCGTGCTGACTTTGAACTTATTAAAAAAGCCATTCAAGTCACTGCGTGGCTTCGGGCCAGGTCCTAAGGCTGCTGGAGTCGCAATTTCCTCCTTGAAAAACGGAATCAGAGGGCGCTGACTCACAACACAGCGTGGGCGTGAAAACGACACCAGTTGAGGAAGGCGGTTCGCACGGTGCCCGGCGCAGGGCCGCTGTCCTCTGCGCGGGCCGGCGTGCAGCCAGCGCTCTCCTGTTCTGCTCCAGTGGAGCCCCACGCCATTCGCATCTCGCTCCCAGGCACACGGAACTTCCCGACAGGGACGAACGGGGTACTGGAAGTTCCCCAAGTCAAGTCCAAAGAGATTCAACGTCGTGCTTCCTGGAACATCCTGGCTCTGTCTGTGAAAAGCATGGGCATTAACCATGATCGGTTTCCATCACTGGCACCAGAAGTCCTACCGTGGAAGAGCGTCCCTCACCGAACCGGCAAGGGGAGTCCACAGCTCTGTGGCACGGCAGGGAGCCAGCCCACGGCGCAAAGCCAGGGCCACGCACCTTTGCCAGGCACCCCGTCCGTTCCTGAACCGGGAAGGAGCACTGGCTCCTTGATATTTTGGTCCACATCCAGGTGTGGTATACATCTATTTCAGTAACTAATTGCTCACTTAAACAAACAAACAAACAAACAAACCCAACTTCTGGTCAAGATGGAGGCATCGGTAAACAGGCTTCGCCTCCTCTCACAACTACAGAAAAAAAATTATAACTAGACCTCAAAACAACTAATGCCCAGAACTGTCAGAAAACTGAGCTGCATGAAAGTCCAACAACCAAGGATTTAAAGAACCCACATCCATCCAGATGGGTGGGAGGAGCAGAGACTCTCCTCCCCAGGAGATGGGCGTGGTGGATAAAAGTCAAGAGGGATACCTTGGGAGCGAGGGATTCCAGTGCCAGGCTAGACCACACAGCCCACGGTTCCAGTGCCAGGGAGATAAATCCCTGTAACTTCTGGCTGTAAACACCAGTGGGAGTTGGGGCAGAGGAAGAAACTGCCAGATTTTCAGGAGACTCTGCTTAAAGGGCCCACACAGACTTAGAACTTATACAGATAGACCTACCGCCTCTGGGATTCAGCACCAGGGCAGCAGCTGGAAGGGTACCAGTCCCACACGGGGAGTAAGTGAAGTCACTGGAAACCTGTCAAGTGTGGGCAAACCCCCAGAAGCCAGGCAGTGGCATTGTCCCCTCTCTGAGCCCTCCCCCAACGCAGAGCCACAAAGCGGTGAAGCAGGTTACCCCACCCTGGCAATTACCTAAGGCTCTGCCCCACACAATTTACAGGTGCCTTTTCTAAGACAGGGAGTCAAAGCAGCTCTACCTAATACACAAAACACAAATACGGGGAGGCTTGCCAAATTAAGGAAATAAGGAAACATGGCCCAAGTGAAAGAACAGAACAAAACTCCAGAAAAAGAACTAAACAAAATGGAGATAAGCAACCTATCAGATGCAGAGTTCAAAACACTGGTTATCAGGATGCTCAAAGAACTCAGTGGGTATTTCAACAGCATAAAAAAAAAAACAGGGAGAAATGAAGCTTGCATGGTTACATTAAGTGAAATAAAGAAAAATTTATAGGAAACCAACAGTGGAGAGGATGAAGCCAAGATTCAAATCAATGATTTGGAAAATAAGGAAGAAATAAGCATCCAACCAGAACAGCAAGAAGGAAAAATAATTTTTAAAAACGAGGATGGTAATAAGGAGCCTCTGGGACATCTCCAAATGTGTCAGCATCTGAACATAGGGGTGCCAGAAGAAGAAGAGGAAGAGCAAGAAATTGAAAACTTACTTGCAAAAGTAATGAAAGAAAACTTCCCTAATTTGGTTGAGGAAATAGACATACAAGTCCAGAAGCACAGAGATTCCCAAAGAAGTTGGACCGAGAGAGGACCACACCAAGGCACATCATAATTTAAATGCCAAAGCTTAAAGAGGAAATCTTAAAAGCAGCAAGAGAAAAGGAGACAGTTACTTACAAAGGAGTTCCCATTAGACTGTCAGCTGATTCCTCAGAAGAAACCCTGCAGACAAGAAGGGGCTGGAAATAAGTATTCAGAGTCATGAAAGGCAAGGACCTATATCCAAGATTATTCTGCCTAGCAATAGGTCAGATAAAGTGCTTCCCAGACAAGCTAAAGCTAAACGAGTTCATCATTACCAAGCCATTATTACATGAAATGTTAAAGGGACTTACATGAGAAGAAAAAAGGATCAAAACTACGAACATCAAAAGGGCAACAAATTTATAACTATCAACAACTGACTCAAAAAACAAACTAAGCAAACAGCCAGAACAGGAACAGAACCATAGATATGGAGATCCCAAGGAGGGATATCAGTGGGGAGGGGAAGGGAGAGAATGGGGAAAAGGAGCAGGGGTTAAGCAGGAATGGCAGGTGCAAAGTAGGCAGGGGGAGGCGAACACTAGTACAGGAGACAGAGAAGCCAGGGAGCTTCTATGCACGCCCCAGGGACATGAACTAAGTTGGGGGAGAATGCCGGAGGGAGGGCAATGCAGGGCGGAGGGGGGCAAAGGGGGAAAATTGGGATACCTCTAATAGCATAAACAATAAAATATGTTTTAAATCCCCCCCCGCCAACAACAGAACAAAACAACCTTACTCTGGCGCTCGAAGGCAAAACTATGACCATTATCCCAGGTGCATAGGGAGGAATTTTAGCAAAAGCAGCTGGGACGCATCACAGGTGGGCTTGCAGCAGAGCTGCGGTTCTCTCAGCTGTAAAGGCGCATTAGCTGCGCCCAAGTCCAGCTGAGAACCTTTAGAGGCACTGAGCATGGGAAAGGTTATGGGCCCCCCGTAATCTGTAATCCCCCCAAAAAGGTTAAACAATAGTAAATAATAAAACAAAACAAGGGTAGGGATGTTAAACAAATTTCTGGTTTCTCCTGATACACTTGGGTGCTTTTCTGGGCAAATATCAAAATATCTCACATTTTTTTCTTGATTTGTCTCTCTCTCAGTGCTTTATTTTTCATATAAAAGCAGTATCACAATATGGAAATTTTAAAAGTAATGTTTATGATAACACCCATTTCTAACGCAGCTATTTTAAGTTGTGCATGTCATCTTCCCACGTTTTGCCACCACCTTTGAGAATTTTTTCCCCAACGTTTAAAATTGTGGTCAAATATACCAGACAGAAAACCGACCGTCTTCCCCATGTTTCAGTGCACACAGTCCAGGGGCATTGAGGACACCCACACGGGCGTGCCACCCCACCCCCACTCACCTCCTCAGCTCTTCCTCCCCGTGAAAGTGAAACTCCGTCTGTGGAGTAACCGCCGTTCTCACTGCAGCCCTGCCCCGCCCCCGA